GGTGTGGTGGTGCATGCCTGTAGTCCCAGCTACTCAAAAGGCTGAGATGGGAAGATCGCTTGAGCCTGGGAGATCGGGCTACAGTGAACCAAGATCACACCACTGCACTCTCCAGCCTGGGCAACAGAGTAAGATGCTGTCTCAAAAAACAAATATATAGGCCGGGCACGGTGGGGTCATGTCTGTAATCTCAGCACTTTGGGAGGTCGAGGCAGGCAGATCACGAGGTCAGGAGATCGAGACCATCCTGGTTAACACAGTGAAACCTCCTCTCCACCAAAAATACAAAAAATTAGCCGGGCGTGGTGGCACGCACCTGTAGTCCCAGCTACTGGAGAGGCTGAGGCAGGAGGATTGCTTGAATCCAGGAGGTAGAAGTTGCAGTGAGCCAAGATTGCACCACTGCACTCCAGCCTGGGTGACAGAGCAAGACTCCACCTCAAAAATAAATAAATAAATAAATAAATAAATAAATAAATAAATAAATAAAAGAGTGATGGAGGGAAGATCAGAGACGTAATAGCAGAACAAGAATAAAAGAGTGTCAAAGGCCAGCCGTGGTGGCTCATGCCTGTAATTCCAGCAATTTGGGAGACCGAGGCGGGCAGATCACGAGGTCAGGAAATCGAGACCATCCTGGCTAACAGGGTGAAACCCCGTCTCTACTAAAAATACAAAATTAGCCAGGCTTGGTGGTGGGCGTCTATAGTCCCAGCTACTCGGGAAGCTGAGGCAGGAGAATGGTGTGAACCCAGGAGGTGGAGCTAGCAGTGAGCCGAGATCGTGCCACTGCACTCTAACCTGGGCACCTGGGCGACAGGGTAAGATTCTGTCTCAAAGGAAAAAAAAAAAAATTAGTCGGGCCTGGTGGCGGTGCCTGTAATCTCAGCTACTCAGGAGGCTGAGACAGGGAGAACTGCTTGAACCCGGGAGGCAGAGGTTGCAGTGAGCTGAAATCACACCACTGCACTCCAGCTTGGGCGACAGAGCGAGACTCCATCTCAAAAAAAAAAAAAAAAAAAAAAAAAAAAGGCGAGGCAGTGCCAATGGCAGGGGATTCACCTTGAGGGTGGAGTTTGAGACAGCCCTGACCCTAAGACATGGAGAAACCCTGTCCTCTACTAAAAATATTAGCAAATTAGCTGGGTGTGAGTGCGATTGCCTGTATCCAGCTTACTGCAGAGTGAGCAGATAATTGCTTGAACTGGAGGGAGGGGTCAGTGAGGCCAAAGATCTGGCCATCTGGTATTCTCTTAGCTCTTGGCGGTCCCCCAATAAATATACTATTAAACTCAATCTCTTAATGTAAAAATGGAGTGCCTATTATATTAGGTTCAAAGGTAAATTATGTTGAGTCTTTGAGGAAGTTTGTATTTATTCTTTAATCTTGAAATTATGTGTCATTTCCATTCATTTTTCATTCTAATCATATTTAAACATTTTGTTGGGCATTTTTCGGTCTGTGTACAGTTATTAGTGCTATAGTGTTTTTACCTTTTTTTTTTTTAATTTCTTTTTGTTTTTTGAGTGTATTCATTTCGCTTCCCCTGCTCGCTCTCAGTGGCCTTGTGAGTTATGTGGTGCCCCGTGATTCTAAAGTGCTCATGTTAACCTTCAGTCTCTCCCGGTTCCTATGGCAATTTCTCCGGGGCCTTGAGCTTTTCTTCAGAGCTAAGTGTCCTGGGGTACATGCCCGTGCATCCACCATGTGCCTCGGCTTAATTTTTGTTATCTATTTTTTAGTATGATGACATCTGTTTTTAGGTTCACCCATGCGTTGGCCAGGGCTGGCGTCTCAACCGCCTGATCCTTTCCATAGTGGTCTAAGTCCACTCTCTGCCCCTGCTTCTATCCATGTGCGGCTTTGTGTACATTTTTATTTACAGGCTATTGTATGCCATCATGCAGCGTTGGTTGTTTCTTTTCATTCTTCTCTACTGAGAGACTTAAATATTGGTCCATTTAGGAAGCTTTTGCGCCACATTTGATATTGGATGTTGGGTTTGAGGAATTATTTATCGTTGGAAATCAATATGACATGGAAACATTGAGATTGGCATATGGTCAATCGGTTTGTATTCTCTTATATTTTATCTTTTTTTGAACACAGATGTCTTGTCTGTCTTCTACAGTTTGTCTTGATGTTGTTATTGGTGTGATTCTAGTGTCTCACTTTGCATATCTTCTCCTAACCTTTTCCTGGTTCTTAACGCAATTTCCTTGTGCCCTTCACCCTTCTCTATAGGCTAGGGATTAGCAGGTGTGTGCAATCAACCACCCTATTCCTTTCATGCCCTAATTTTTGTGTAGCTTTTAGTAAAGAAGGTTTGTCACCATGTTGCCAGGCTAGCCTCTTGAACCCTGACTCAAAAAGCGATCTGGGCCCGCCTCAGCTATCCCAAAGTGCTGGATTACAGGTGTGCGAGCCACCAATGCCGTTGGCCTATACTTTTTTTTTTTTTTCCCTTTTAAGAAGAAAGGGTCTTGCTCTGTTCATCCCAGGCCCCTGGAGTGGCAGTGTGCGATCCACAGCCACACTTGGCAGCCTCCCAAACTCACTGGGTCAAGCAAATCCCCCTGTCTCAGCTCCAAAGGTTGGGACTCACAGGAGCATCGTGTCCAGCAAATGCCGGGGTAATTTCTAAAATTTTTGTAAGAAGATGGGAGTCTTGTGCTCATGGCCAAGGGATTGAACAATATTTTATTATTAATTTTTGAGATGGAAGGCGTGTTCGCTTCCCTGTTTTGCTCTTCATGTTGCCTGGAGGCCCATTTTGGCGGCGTATCTTCAGCTCATTGTGCAACCTCTGTCCTCCCGGTTCAAAGTGTCTCCCTCGGCCTCCTGCCCAAGTACCGTGGGAATTACAGGTGTCCAAACACCATGGCGCCAGCTTAATTTTTTTTAACATTTTAGTAAAGAGGATGTGGGTTCACCAATGTTGGCCAGGCTGGTCTTGAACAACTCCTGACCTCGTGTGATGCACCTGCTTCGGCCTCCCAAAGTGCTGAGATTATAGGCGTGAGCCACCGCGCCTGGCCCAGGGATTAAATATTTTTAATTAAGGAAGACCTGCACATGTTTATAGTATACGGGAGAGGAGCTAAGGGCAAGGGAGAGAAGGAAGATGATAGAGAAGTCCTGGAGGAAGTTGAAAAGGGGAGGCAAGAACATATGCCAAAGGGTGCAACACTTCTTCTGAGTCCAAAAGGAGGGAGTAGGCTGGGTGCAGTGGCTCATGCCTATAATCCCAGTACTTTGGGAGGCTGAGGTGGGCAGATCACTTGAGGTCAGGAGTTTGAGACCAGCCTGACCAACATGGTGAAACCCCGTCTCTACTAAAAATAAAAAAATTAGCTGGGCGTAGTGGCTTATGCTTGTAATCCCAGCTACTCGGGAGGCTGAAGCAGGAGAATCACTTGAACCAGGGAGGCAGAGGTTGCAGTGAACCGAGATCAAGCCACTACACTCCAGCCCAGCAATAGTTTTAGACTCCGTCTCAAAAAAAAAAAAAAAAAGTCCGTCTCAAAAAAAAAAAAAAAAAAAAAGGAAGGAGTAAAAGTGGAGAGCAATTTTTGAGTGATGAATCAAGTATAGAGACGGACAGAGGGAAAACTTAAAGGGTTCACATGCATAGCCTCAATCTCACAAAGCAGGAAGGAAAGGCATTTCGCAGAGAGCAGAGAGATGGGGACAGGTGGAGTGGCTTGATGAACGTGGAAAAGTTTGAATAGTTATCTTGAGGGTGACAGGGAGTCAATAAAAGACAAAGGATCACGGAGCTGCCCTTAGAGCCTGGCAGTGAGGCTAGTCAGGGAATCTGGGGCTTGGCAAACATACTCTGGTTATTTTTCTTCCAGCAATACTCCAGAGACCAGGAGTGAAAAAAAGAGGTGGGGGACATGGAGCAACGATCATTGGTTTGGGAACTGACCTGTAGGTAGGTAGGTAAGGGGACAGAACTGAGTAGTTTAGGCTGGGTAAGGAGTCAGATAAAACCAAAACGGGTCCTAAGTCTTAAGACAAGAAAGGCAAGGTCATGGCAGAGGTGAGAGATAGGCGGCTGTGGTCAAAGACTGCAGCTCTGCATTATGGAAGTAGAGCTGTCTCTAGTGATTCAAGCTACAAAGTGTGCTCCCATGGGTGCTGCCTGAGGAATGGTGAAGTCAAAGGAAATTGGAGGGCCAGGTTGGTCACCTGTTATCCCTTTGGGAGGCTGAGGTCTGGAGATTGCTTGAGCCCAGGAGTTTGAGACCAACCTGGGCCAACATAGTGAGTGCCCATCTCTAGAAAATATTAGCCTGGTTGCTGGGAGCATTAACTCACGTCTGTAGTCCCAGAACTTTGGGAGGCCGAGGCAGGAGGATCACTTGAGCCCAGGAATTTGACACGAGCCTGGGCAACAGAAAGAGGCCCCCGTCTCTACCAAAACAACAACAACAATATTTATTTAATAACTGGGTGCGGTGGTGTGCACCTGTAGTCCCAGCTACTCAGGAGGCTGAAGCCGGACAATCGCCACAGCTTGGGAGGTAGAGGCTGCAGTGAGCTGTTATTGTGTCACAGTACTCCAGCCTGGGCAACAAACGGAGACCTTGTCTAAAAGATAAATAAATAGATAAATAATTAATTAAAAATAAAACAAAGGACACTGGAATTGAGGAGCTTGGGTAATTGTGAGTTGATCAAATCAAATGGTAATTCACAGAAATGTTAATATTAAAAGAAGTCTAGTATAGAGGAAACAAAGGTAGGCTAGGATCTGGAGATCTGGCCTCTATTTGCCGTCCTACTTCAGCAACAAAAATTCGCTGCTTTGGGGAAGCCATGACCTTTCTCTGGGGTTGAACCAGAAGACTTCCCAGGACTCTTCCTGCTCCAAGAGATACGGCTTTTTAGGATAACAGCGAAGGACTGGCTGATGACGAGGACTCCTCCTGCACATCTTCCTCTTTCCAGAAAGACGTCCGGAACCTTTCTGCATTGCTTTCTGCCCGGACGCGCGGAAGCGAAGGCCGGAAGTCCTTAGCCGGTAGCTTCCGGGTTTCCTGGGCTACTACGATGGCGATGAGTTTCGAGTGGCCGTGGCAGTATCGCTTCCCACCCTTCTTTACGTGAGGCTCAGACCCCAAGAAGCCCCGCTGTGCCTCCCTCCCCTCCCCTGGACCGTGGGCTCAGCCCTGATGCTTCAAATGGGGAGGGGGAGAAAAGACCCGGCTGCCAACCCCCTCAGTCCCTTACTTTCTTCCCGAAACGCGTCCCGGGCAAGTGCTGCCTCTCGCCCTCTAATTCTGCGCCCCACTCCCTTCACCCGGCAGGTTACAACCGAATGTGGACACTCGGCAGAAGCAGCTGGCCGCCTGGTGCTCGCTGGTCCTGTCCTTCTGCCGCCTGCACAAACAGTCCAGCATGACGGTGATGGAAGCTCAGGAGAGCCCGCTCTTCAACAACGTCAAGCTACAGCGTATCCTCCCTCAGGCTCTTCCACAGCCCAAACTGATGTACTTCTGCGCTTTCCCACATGCCCAGACGCCCCCTACCCCCCCACCCCCACCAGCTCCCCTTTACCCATGGTAGGCAGATTCCTACCCAAACTGGGCTTAAGGAGTGAAAATGTGTAGCTGACATTTTACTCCCCAAATGCAGTACCGGACCCTCTTGTTCTTGGCAGTGATGACTGCTCAGATGTCATTAAGGTCTTAGAATTTCTGCCCTGAAGCCAAGTTCCAAGCTTTTTAACCTAAACCTTTTTGACTGTATCTTCCATCCTTTTCTGTGTGAGGCCCAGATTTGGGTAACTACCTTTAATTATTTTCTCTGCCCCTCTCCTGCCAGGAAGTAAGGGTCATTTGGTTTTGCTGCCTGATTCATCCCTAAAATATCTGTGGAGAAAGGCTGAAGGAAGGCAACAGACAGAGGGTGAGGAATGACAGTACCTTTCATTTTCTAAAGCTGTTTTTTTTTTTTTTTTTTTTGGAGACAGGGTCTTGCTCTCTTGCTCAGGCTGGAATGCAGTGGCACAATCACATAAAGCTCCTTTTAATTGGAAGAGTTTCTCTTTACCTTCCTCCTTTGAATATCCAGGAAATGACAATTCATATCATGTTGGGAAATTGCACACATATGTGTGTGGGAGAGGAAGGGGCAGGTGTTTCTCAACATGGGACTGGCTCTGAGAATTTTTATCCTACCCAACTCATGTGTATGCCATTCCCTTAACCTTAAACCAGGAAAGCTTCCTGTGGAGTCGATCCAGATTGTATTAGAGGAACTGAGGAAGAAAGGTGGGTTCAGTTCCCCAGATTCCTTATTTTTCTTCCTAGTTGGATTTTCCTGAGGGCAAATTAGGATAACTCTTTTTCCCTTTAATAACTTTTTCTCTCTCCTGGCTTGAAGGCCAGAGTCTTCTGTAAAGTAGGCAGCCCAATTCCCAAGTCCTTTCTTCTTCTTTGTACACAAAATTGAAATCTCTGTGCCCTAACCCTGAAGAGCAGTGGAAGAAGGATGAGTACCTTGTAGATAATAATAGTAAAATAAATATTGAATCTCTCTGAAAGCTGAGTCTCTTCTACTCTGTCCCATCTTGGTATTTTATTTGCCTCTTTGTTTCTTTTTAGGTCATGATGCTTTTTTTTGCGGGGGGGAGATAGGGTCTCACTCTGTCACCCAGGCTGGAGTGCAGTGGCTCAGTCATATCTTACTGCAGCCTTGACTTCCTGGGCTCAGGTGATCCTGAGTAGCCGAGACCACAGGCATGTGTCACCACACACCTGACTAATGTTTTGTATTTTCTGTAGAGACAGGGTCTCGTTATGTTGCCCAGGTTAGTCTCAAACCTCTGGGCTCAAGTGATCCTCCCGCCTTGGCCTCCTGAAGTGCTGGGATTACTGGTGTAAGCCACTGCGCCTGGTTATGCTTTCATAAGTATCTGTTTTACAGGGAACCTCGAGTGGTTGGATAAGAGCAAGTCTAGCTTCCTGATCATGTGGCGGAGGCCAGAAGAATGGGGGAAACTCATCTATCAGTGGGTGAGATCATCCTGCTGCCAAGTGTTCAACAGTGACCCATGGCAAAGGATATTAGGGCCTAGCAGATACCTGGTGTCCCCAGATCCAGACTGAGCAAAATGGGAAGGGGGCAGAAAGAGGAAGTGTAGGCCTTCCAGGCAAACCTCTTTCAGTGACTCAATGCCTTTGGCTGTGTAGAACCTCCCTTTCTTTGCCTGTAGGAGGCCAGGGGCTATGTGAGGCCATATTTGGAGAATGCAGAACTGGGAACCCTGAGTGCTCTTGTTGGCTGGAGCCTCTGGCCACAGGAGATAAATGGGGAAAGGAAGGGAAAAAACCTGGGGCCCCTCCCCCACTTCACCTTTATGGGACTGTCCACAACATGAATGAGATATTCTGAACCAGTGTGGGTGTGGGGACAGAATACCCTTCCTCCTAAACCACCAGCCCCAAACATTCCCAAGGAAGAGAAGAGGGTAAGAAGCATCAACATTCTAAATATAACAAATACACAGCATCCATTCTTGAACAGGAAAACAACCAGAATGAGAGGTCGAGGTCACTCCTGAGACACGTGAAGACCTGTGGTTTAGTGGTTCCAAATGAGTGTGTACACATGTAAATATAGCACTTGTAGGGTTTATGGTTTTTAGGCCACTCTGCAGAGGTGACAGTGAGTCTTGGTTTGGGAATAGGTATCATTCCTGGATCAGAGGGGTGGAGCTGATGAATTTACTGTCTCCCAGGAGATTCTTGGTTCTAATTCACTCCTCATTCTCTGTGTTCACAGGTTTCCAGGAGTGGCCAGAACAACTCCGTCTTTACCCTGTATGAACTAACTAACGGGGAAGACACAGAGGATGAGGGTAATGCCTTTCCCTTCCCACCCACAGTTCATTTTTTTTGTTGTTGTTTTGTTTTGTTTTTGTTTTTGTTTTTTCTGATATGGAGTCTTGCTCTGTCACCCAGGCTGCAGTGCAATGGTGCAATCTTGACTCACTGCAACCTCCGCCTCCTGGGTTCAAGCGATTCTCCTGCCTTAGCTTCCCGAGTAGCTGGGATTACAGGTGCACGCCGCCACGCCTGGCTAATTTTTTGTATTTTTAATAGAGATGGGGTTTCATCATGTTGGCCAGGTTGGTCTTGAACTCCTAACCTCTTGATCCGCCTGCCTTGGCCTCCCAAAGTGCTGGGATTAGAGGCGTGAGCCACCGTGCCCCGCCGGTTTTTTTTTTTTTTTTTGAGACAGAGTCACTCTGTCACCCAGACTGGAGTGCAGTGGCACAGTCTCTGCTCACTGCAACCTCCGCCTCCTAGGTTCAAGCAATTCTAAGTTCTTAACCCACGTCCGAGGATTCCATAAGCCACCTGAATTCACATGCAAAAAATCCCAAATTTTATTTTTGTGGATGCATGTGCATTTTTCTAGGGATAGATATTATAAGATTTCCGAGGGCATCTATGACCCATGAAAAGTTAAGAATTTCACTTTTCAGCTGGGCACAGTGGCTCGTGCCTGTAATCCTAGCACTTTGGGAGGCTAAGGCAGGAGGATTTCTTGAGACCAGGAGTTTGAGACTAGCCTGGGCAGCATATGGAGATCCTTTCTCTACAAAAAATTTAAAAATCAGCTGGGCATGGTGGTGTGCACCAGTAGTCTCAGCTACTCAGAAGGGTTAGGTGGGAGGATTGCTTGAGCCCAGGAGGTCAAGGCTGCAGTGAGCTATGATCACACCACTGCACTCCAGCCTGGGCAACAGAGAGAGACCCTATCTTAAAGAATAACAGTAGGCTGGGCGCAGTGGCTTACGCCTGTAATCCCAGCACTTTGGGAGGCTGAGGCGGGTGGATCACCTGAGGTCAGGAGTTCCAGACCAGCCTGGCCAACATAGTGAAACCCCGTCTCTACTAAAAATACAAAAAGTAGCCGGGCATGGTGGTACATGCTTGTAATCCAAGCTACTTGGGATGCTGCAGCAGGAGGATCACTTGAACCCGAAGGCAGAGGTTGCAGTGAGCCGAGATCGTACCACTACACTCCAGCCTGGATGACAGAGTGAGACTCCATCTCAGAAAATAATAATAATAATAAAAAAGTATTATAAATAAACTTTCTTCATTCAGCATCTGCTATAGATGCTGAATGAGGAACAAGGGCAGGGGATTAAGCTTGAAATCTCATTCCTTGCTGACTCAGGCTCTCTTCCACCTTTTATTCTTATAGAAGACTCAAGATTTGTGGGTGTCAGCTGAAGAGATTGGGCAACACCCCCAGCCCATTTAAATAATTTGGTTTCTGGCCAGGCAAGGATTTGTATAGTGTTTGATTTTTACATAGCGTAAATACTCTTGTTCTTTTTCTCTGACTCCATATTCTGATCCTCTGGATCACCACAAGTTTCGATCTTAGCTGGGATCATAGGGGATGTCTCCCCTTTCTGCCAGGCCCTGGTTGTCCTAGCAGAGTTTACAGCTCTTAGCTGTTCCCCTTCCTGCCCTGCAGGTCTCTGCTTGCTACTCCCACCATCACCCCATGATTTCAGCACTGTAGCCTTGCCCAGCCCACTACTCAGGCTGGGCAAAGTTGGAGGCTTCCTCAGAAAGCAAGTTCCCTGACTTAGCTGAGCCCCCGCAGGGGGTGAGGTAAGCAAGCCTGTCAGGGCTTGTGTGCTGCCTCCCACATCTCCCTGCAGTATCTTACCATATCTCCACATACTCAGCTAGCCATTGGCTCCCAATTTTTTTTTTTTTTTTTTTTTTTTTGAGACGGAGTCTTGCTCTGTCGCCCAGGCTGGAGTGCAGTTGCGCGATCTTGGCTCACTGCAACCTCCACTTCCCGGGTTCAAGTGATTCTCCTGCCTCAGCCTCCTGAGCAACTGGGATTACAGGTGACTGCCACCATGCCCGGCTAATTTTTTGTATTTTTAGTAGAGACAGGGTTTCTCCATGTTGGCCAGGCTGGTCTAGAACTCCTGATCTCAACCCCTGACCCCCCACCCCGCCTCAGCTTCCCAAAGTTCTGGGATTACAGGCGTCAGCCACCGCCCCTGGCCTGTGCTCCCAGCTTTTAACTAGAAAAAGGGCAGATATCAGTGCTAGAGTTTAACAGTCTCCTGGCCAGGAGTAGTGGCTATATTCTTTGTGTTAGGATAGATCCTCTAGGGTCAGTGTCTAGTGACAATGGCTGCGATCTCCCTAGGCCTGATTTTCACGGCCCCTTTGTGGCCCTAAAGCAGATGGTGTCATTCTTGAGCATCAGACACAAATGGGAGGTGTAGGGGAGGTTGAGTCTGAGAGGAGAACCAGGAAGGGGGAAATAAGCACAAACTCATTTCATGCTGATTCAGGCTTTCTTCCACCCCTTAATACTAAGGAGTGCCTGGGAAGTGTGGGTAGCAGCTGCAGCAGTATAGATGGCATATGCATACCCTGCCTCTGGGAGGTCTCAGCTTCCAGCCAGACCACTCTCCTCAGAGGCCTTGGGCCCCAGGAGCTGATTGTCTCTGACTGCCCATCTCTCCCTGTTCAGAGTTCCATGGGCTGGATGAGGCCACTCTACTGCGGGCTCTGCAGGCCCTACAGCAGGAACACAAGGCCGAGATCATCACCGTCAGCGATGGCCGAGGCGTCAAGTTCTTCTAGCAGGGACCTGTCTCCCTTTACTTCTTACCTCCCACCTTTCCAGGGCTTTCAAAAGGAGACAGACCCAGTGTCCCCCAAAGACTGGATCTGTGACTCCACCAGACTCAAAAGGGCTCCAGTCCCGAAGGCTGGGACCTGGGGATGGGTTTCTCATACCCCATATGTCTGTCCCTTGGATAGGGTGAGGCTGAAGCACCAGGGAGGAAAGATGTGCTTCTTGTTGCCCTACCTCCTTTCCATCCTAGACTGTCCTTGAGCCAGGGTCTATAAACCTGATACTTTATATGTGTTCACACATGTAAGTACATACACACATGCACCTGCAGCACATGCTTCTGTCTCCTCCTCCTCCCACCCCTTTAGCTGCTGTTGCCTCCCTTCTCAGGCTGGTGCTGGATCCTTCCCAGGGGATGGGGGAAGCCCTGGCTGCAGGCAGCCTTCCAGGCAATATGAAGATAGGAGGCCCACGGGCCTGGCAGTGAGAGGTGTGGCTCGACACCGATTTACGATATTAAAATCTCAACTCCCACTGCCTGCCTCTTAAATTACTGCAGTACTGGAATGGGGATGGGGAGAGCTGTGAAGTGTTGCCACCTGAGTAAATCCCAGCCTGGGAGAGGGGAGAGAAAAGAAAGCTTATGACTTTTGTAGAAGAAAAGGTCCTCCAGGGCTCTGCGGGCTCCAGTGAGCCTGTGGTTTTACATCTGCTGGGTGGGCTGTGTGGAGGAGTGCTGATGGAACACAGCTTGGGGACAGACTGCTTTCTCTCTGAATTGGAGTCACTTAAGGGCTCCCCCTTCCCTCACCGTCTCCCCCATGGAAGTCCTGAACTACTCTGAAGCCCCTCCCTCCATCCATCTGGTCTGGGTGGGGTAACTGTGGCCAAGGGGAGCTGAGGGGGTAAGCCGGATGTGGACTTTGGTTTATTGGAGACTTTGGCAAACAGAAAGGGAGGAAGGAGAGCCCACATTGCAAAAACAGCCACTCTGGCCAGGACTAGGCTGCGGCCAAGGTGGCCTGGAGGGGATGGATGACCGGGCAGTTTAGGGGAGGGACTTATCCTGGGGAGCACACACCCATTCCCTATGCAGACCAGAGGGACAACAACGTCAGACCTTTCCACTGTCCTTTCTGTATGTTCGGCCTGGGGCTACTCCGGACAGTTAGGAGGGGGTGGTGCTGCCTTATCTGGGGTGTGCAGGCCGGTGGTAGCCTGCCCCTAAGTAATCCGCCACTAGGATCCGAGTGTCTTCCTCTCCTGCACTCCCCCGCGCACAAACAGGTTTGTGCACTCTTAGTGCGGGAGGACGCACCGCGGTCTCCCACTCAGTTCTGGCCTCAGAGTGAGACTGCGGCCGGGGGCTCGGGAAACAGGGGGACGCGGCTGGGCGGGGCGGCGACTAAGGTTAGGGGCTGCTCGCGGGGAGCCGCTCGGAGGGGCGGCCGTGGGGGGCAAGGGCGGGCCGCGGGGCGGGGTCAGGGGCGGGGCCGGGCCGAGCCGGGGGCTGGGGCCCCAGCAGCTCAGCCGGAGCTCTGCGCGCCCAGCGGGTCTGCCTGTCAGACCGCCTCGTCTCCGGCCGTCTGGTTTTCTACCCTTCGGCGCCTTGCTCTTCCTCATGTTGGCACCCCCGGCCACGGAGGCCACCGTCCCCATGTCCCAGACTGAGGCCGACCTGGCGCTGCGGCCCCCGCCGCCTCTTGCCACCGCCGGGCAGCCCCGCTTCGGGCCCCCTCCTCGCCGAGCGCGCCGCTTCTCCGGGAAGGCTGAGCCTCGGCCGCGCTCTTCTCGTGTCAGCCGCCGTAGCTCAGTCGACTTGGGGCTGCTGAGCTCTTGGTCCCTGCCACCCTCACCCGCTCCGGAACCCCCCGATCCTCCGGACTCCTCTGGTCCTGGCCCCGCAAGGAGCCCACCGCCTAGCTCCAAAGAAACCTCCGAGGGCACGTGGACCAAGGGAGCCCCTGTGAAGGCTGCAGAAGACTCCGCGCGTCCCGAGCTTCCGGACTCTGCAGTGGACCCGGGGTCCAGGGAGCCGCTGAGGGTCCCTGAAGCTGTGGCCCTAGAGCGGCGGCGGGAGCAGGAAGAAAAGGAGGACATGGAGACCCAGGCTGTGGCAACGTCCCCCGATGGCCGATACCTCAAGTTTGACATCGAGATTGGACGTGGCTCCTTCAAGACGGTGTATCGAGGGCTAGACACCGACACCACAGTGGAGGTGGCCTGGTGTGAGCTGCAGGTGCGGCTGGGAGCCCCCTCGGTGGCCCCTTGGGATGGGACTCTGGAGGTCTTAGGATGAGAGACAGAGGGTGGGGGAGACAGCGTCAAGGGAAGGATATATTTTTCCAAATGTCTATAGACACCTCTGCTGTCTTTGCCCTGAATGATCTGGTTGACTCTGGGCTGCAGAAGGAGAGACTGAGGCAGGTGGTGTCTGGTGACTCCTCCATGGGTATGAACATTCTCACTTTAAAGTCTCCATACTCAACCCTGAGAGGTGGAAGATAGGATGGGAAGTTGGGCAGGGGATCCAGTTCAGGTCAGTTTCCTGCTGGTGGGTACCCACAATCCCTTCCTCTCCCCTAAGTCCTGAGATCCTCAGTTATGACCCTAGTCCTCTTGATCCCCTCACTCCTCCCTGTCCCCACCTGTTTGCAGACCAGGAGGCTGGGATGTGGGAAGCCAGGAGCTGGGCAAGGGTCCTCTCCAACTCTAAAAGATTTAGGGCAGTTGTGGCAGAATGGGGCCCCCTAGTCCCTTCTGGAGCAGTCAGACTTCTGGACTTCACAGCTGCGAGGAGGGGGACATAGGGAGCTCCAGCTCTGGAGTGAGTCCAGTTCTGCTCCTCATCCCACTGCCTACCTGTGCTCTCCCTTCCCTCCCATATCTAAAGGCACTAAGCCCATGGGCTTTAGGAAGACCTTCCTCCCATCGCTCCCATGCTACATATGGGTTAGGAGAACCCAGTCAACTTGGGACCCGAAACTTCGGATTCAGATTGGGGGACAGAGCCTAGGGGAAGGGTCCCTCTCCAGCCCTGGCACAGGGCTCGCCCCTTGCGCCTGCCAGTGCCGCGCCCCAGGCTCTGGGCCAGGCCAGGAGAGGCAGCCAAACTGGGGGGTGAGGGGAGGGAGAGGAGCCGGGGCGGGACAACTATGGGGGTGGGCGGCCTCTTGGCACCTAGTTCTGGATCTTTTCTTTCCTTCTCAGTACCAACCTCCATATCCCTCCTGCCTTCTGTCTGGATCTAGCAGTTCCCAGTTTCTGGGGCCAACCCCCTTGCCAGCCCCAATTCCCTGCCCGCGGTCTCCTGCTGCCCGCCTGCTGCCTGCTCACTGCCAGCCCCCAGGTGCCCCCTCCCGCCCCATGGCCGGCCTGGGCAGCCACAAAGGCACTATTGAGCTCAGGACTCCGGGACCGGGCTGCATAAAGGAGCTTGTGTCCAGCAGGGGGTCTAGGGGGCTGCCCCAGGCCCAGGTTGGGTGTGTCCTTGGATCAGCTTACGTGGAGGACTGTTGGAGAGTTCAGGGTCTGCAGCCCACTGGGCGAGTGATCCCACTAATCCCACCCCATCTGTGGGCTCCAACCCTTACTTCTTCCCCCACCCCCACTCCAGGTGTTCCTTTCTGTGGGGGTCCTGGGCCTGACATAACACCCGTCCCCCATCCCACAGACTCGGAAACTATCTAGAGCTGAGCGGCAGCGCTTCTCAGAGGAGGTGGAGATGCTCAAGGGGCTGCAGCACCCCAACATCGTCCGCTTCTACGATTCGTGGAAGTCAGTGCTGAGGGGCCAGGTTTGCATCGTGTTGGTCACCGAACTCATGACCTCGGGCACACTTAAGACGTGAGCTCTGCGCATGAGTGGGTGGGGAGAGGGAGACTGGGATGTGTGCCCACTGCTTCCTGAACTCCCAGGTTCCTCAAACTCTCTAATATCCAGGTGTAAAACCAGGTTCATCATCTCCCTCTCACCCAGCCTTTGCCTCGGTGAGTGGCAATGTCCACCCAGCACTCCAGTCAAAAACTTGGGTGTCTCCCCAGACTCCCCTCTCTCCACTCTGCCCCCTCATCAGTCTGTCCCCAAGTCTTTCCTTAACCTCTCCCCACCTGGCTTTCACTGCTTCATCCATGCCACCACCTCAATGCCATCTCGCTGATCTGGAGCCCTGCAGCAGCCTCCTGAAGGGCCTTCCCAAACTCTGCCACCCTCTAAGTGATCCTGTCTTCCTGCAGCCTGGAGGATCTTTCCCAGTCGAAAATCTGAACTGTCACTCCCCTCCTTAAAACCCCTTCAAAGTTTCCCATGGCCTTGGAATAAAGCCCACACAGGCTCACCTGTTCACAGACGCCTTGGGATACAGCCTCATTTTTAGCCTAAGTTCCAATCACACCAAATTCCTGGCACCTCGTCCCACCCTGCCTTGTCACTAGCTTTTTCCGTGCCTTTGAGCATAGTGTCCTGTCTGCCTGGGAAGTCTCCATCCCTTCCCCCTTTCACCTTTGAGCTCCTACTCATCATTCAAGATGCAACACAAAAGTATTTCCTCTCCGAAGCCCTCCCTCATGCTTGGGGCAGTTAGTCACCCCTTCCTGCGCTTCCACAGCACCTTGGCTGTGGCCCTATCAATTTACTTCCCAACCCGTTTGGTAACGTCATGTCTATCCACCACACCCCCTGACTCAGTTTCTCCCTGTGGCCAGGGAGACATAGACTAGGAGAATGCTGGCAGAAGATGCGGAGGCGGCAGCAGGGTGCTGCAGGGGGGAACTTCCCAGTGAGGGGACTCCTCCCCATTGGCCGTGTCCCCCACCAGGACCCTTGCTATGTGCCCTCCCCCAGGTACCTGAGGCGGTTCCGGGAGATGAAGCCGCGAGTCCTTCAGCGCTGGAGCCGCCAAATCCTGCGGGGACTTCATTTCCTACACTCCCGGGTTCCTCCCATCCTGCACCGGGATCTCAAGTGCGACAATGTCTTTATCACGGGCCCTACTGGCTCCGTCAAAATCGGGGACCTGGGCCTGGCCACGCTCAAGCGCGCCTCCTTTGCCAAGAGTGTCATCGGTGCGTCTCTCCAGGAGGGTCCATGCCATTCCTTCCTCCCCCACCTCAGAAGAGAACCTGGGTACTCCCTCCCCTCAGCAAGGGCCTTCAAGGTCCACGGAACTACCAGATGACAGGGGAGCTGAGGAGACCTATGGCATCCCTCCTCAACCCCACTGTGGGCCGGGGTCACTTGCACTCGCAGGGTTGCCTGGGGCTACCTAGCCCAATGGGAAGGACAAGGCCAGAGTGCCCAGCAACCTGATCCCTGCTGTTGACCCTACAGGGACCCCGGAATTCATGGCCCCCGAGATGTACGAGGAAAAGTACGATGAGGCCGTGGACGTGTACGCGTTCGGCATGTGCATGCTGGAGATGGCCACCTCTGAGTACCCGTACTCCGAGTGCCAGAATGCCGCGCAAATCTACCGCAAGGTCACTTCGGTGAGAGGGATGGGGCTGGCGGGAAAGGCAATTCCAGGGCCACTTCCCATTTTCCTGCCCCGGCCAGCCCGCAGTCAATGCCCTTTGCCTGCACGAAAACAGGCTAGACAGAGTCGCCTTGGTGAACACAGGATATTGAATGCACACGCACCCCCTCCAGTACACGCTATTTAGAATAATATGTGTGGTGCTCCCAAGAGTTCACAAATGATTTCGCATCCCATCTCTCATCCAATCCTTCCAGCTGCCCTGTGAGGTGAGCGGGGCAAATGTTCCACCCTGCGATTTACAGATGAACAAACAGCGGGAGACTTGTTCAAGGTCACACTGTAAATACTTGGCGGGGAGTGAGATTTGAAATCACATCTTCCAGTGGCAGTCAGGCTTTTGCAACTGCACGCGTAGCTGCCTAAGGCGGGAGTGGAGTAAGGGGTGGGGGAGTGTCAAGCCGAGAGCTGGGGATCAAAGCACCGGAGGTGTCATGCAACCCCTTCCCCCAGGGCAGAAAGCCGAACAGCTTCTACAAGGTGAAGATACCCGAGGTGAAGGAGATCATTGAAGGCTGCATCCGCACGGATAAGAACGAGAGGTGGGGGTGAAAGGGCAGAGCATGGGTAGAATAGGGCTGCGGGCCGCGGCGGGCTGGGCTAACCCCTTGCGTCACCCTCAGGTTCACCATCCAGGACCTCCTGGCCCACGCTTTCTTCCGCGAGGAGCGCGGTGTGCACGTGGAACTAGCGGAGGAGGACGACGGCGAGAAGCCGGGCCTCAAGCTCTGGTTGCGCATGGAGGACGCGCGGCGTGGGGGGCGCCCACGGGACAACCAGGCTATCGAGTTCCTGTTCCAACTGGGCCGGGACGCGGCCGAGGAGGTGGCACAGGAGATGGTGAGCGGAGGACAGACTGTGCTGCCAGTGGACGTGTAAAGGGCATTGACCCGAAGAGATAGTACAACAGGGATGGGGCGCAGGAGGCGTGGCAGCGATGGGGGCGGGGCACCTTACTTCTCTTAGAATCTCCTGCAGCGTCTCCCTACCTCTCCAGCCCTAACTTACCTGCACCCACACCCAGTTTTCCTTTACAGAGGGAGCCCTGGGTCCTCCAGCATCCCTGCTTTACCTGCAGCTGATCTGTTCTTCCTGGAATGCCCTTCTTGCCAATTTATCTTTTCCTTCTTTCCTCCCTCCCCCTTGTTCTTTTTCTTTTTCTTCCAATATGATCAGAACCATCGATTTCGGGAAGCCATCCCCTCTGGAGTCAAACTTAAATGCTTCTTTCCACTTCAGCAAGTTCTCTGTTACAGCACTCCCCACTATCGGTCCTGTCTTAGACCTGAATAAGTTCCTATCTTTCTTCTCCACTAGACTATAAACTCCCTGAGGGCAGAGATTGTGTTTATTGATTCTTCTATCCCTGGCAGTGCTTGGCACATAGTAAGAGCTCATTAATAGCCCACATCTGTACATGGCTTAAAGCACTTTCACACGCATTTGGTCTTTGCTACCCATCCTGCATAGGGGGCAGTTTTATCTCAACTTGTTGATAAGGAAATGGAAATTTAGAGAGGTTGAATACCTTGTCCAGTGCCCCAAGTAGGTAAGTGGAAGAGCTGGATTGAAACTGAAGTGGTTCCGATTTTAAATCAGGTTACCCTTCCCCACCTCCTTTACTCACTCAGCAAAGCTTGTGGCTAAAAGGAAAGAGGAGGTGATGAATGGAAGCTGGTAGAAGGGGAGAGGCATAAGATGCAAGGGCAGACGCCTGGGGACTGGCTTAGGAAGTCCTGAAGGGAGTATGAGATTCTTTTTGGGGAGTAATGGAGTCTCACTCTGTCATCCAGGCTGGAGTGCAGTGGCACTATCTCAGCTCATTGCAACCTTCGCCTCCTGGGTTCAAGCAGTTCTCCTGCCTTAGCCTCCCCAATAGCGGGGATTACAGGCACGAGCCACAATGCCCAGCTAATTTTTGTATTTTTTAGTAGAGACGGGGTTTCACCATGTTGGCCAGGCTGGTCTCGAACTCCTGACCTCAAGTGATCCACCTGTCTTGGCCTCCCAAATTGCTGGGATTACAGGTGTGAACCACCGTGCCCGGCTGAGTATGGGATTCTTAATACAGACATGACCGTTGCAAGGGTGGAGACCACCTACGGTGGGACAAGAATCTGAGAATGTGTTAGAAATTTAGAGCAGGTCTCCATATCATGGCCCAACCTGACCTGAGATCCAATCTTGATCCATTGCTGACAAGGGATTCTTGGCCTTGGTACTGTTGGCATCTTTGTTTTAGGGACTGCCCTGTACATTGTAGGATATTGAGAAAAACCCCTGGCTTCTACTCACTAGATTCAGTAGCATCTACCTTTGAGTTGTGGCAACTAAAAATGTCTCTAGATATTGCCAAACATCTCTTCTTCCCATTGGAAACCACTGACTTACTGTATAACTATGAACTGGTCAATTCATTAGTCTCTAAAATGGAATGGTAAGGTTTATCCCACAAGGTTGTTTGGAGGATCTAATGATGATAATGTAAGGAGCTGCCAGTTAGCAGACATAGTGGGTCATCAGTAAGTGTTGGTTTCCTTCCTCTCATATCCCGGAGTTCCCAAGAAGGTGTCCTGATGGATCTTTGAGAGGGGGTCCCAAGCTGTGTTCCTCATCCCCCACCCCAACTCCAGGTAGCTTTGGGCTTGGTCTGTGAAGCCGATTACCAACCAGTGGCCCGTGCAGTACGTGAACGGGTTGCCGCCATCCAGCGAAAGCGTGAGAAGCTGCGTAAAGCAAGGGAATTGGAGGCACTCCCACCAGAGCCAGGACCTCCACCAGCAACTGTGCCCATGGCTCCTGGTCCCCCCAGTGCTTTCCCCCCTGAACCTGAGGAGCCAGAGGCAGACCAGCACCAGCCCTTCCTTTTCCGCCACGCCAGCTACTCATCTACCACCTGTAAGTCACCCTGATCTTGAGACATAGGTCCCAGAACACCTTGGACTCTGCCCCAAACCCAGAAATTCACGCCCACCGCAGTCACTTACCCTGCCTTCCACCTCTAGCCATGAAGCTCCCTCCAGGAAGGAACTCTCCCACAGCTCCAGGCCCCTCCTTGCTTAGGCAGGCCCCCTCCTCTGCCACTATTCCCTTTCATTTCCCGTTTTCTTGATCCCTTCCCTCCCCAACCAGCGGATTGCGAGACTGATGGCTACCTCAGCTCCTCCGGCTTCCTGGATGCCTCAGACCCTGCCCTTCAGCCCCCTGGGGGGGTGCCATCTAGCCCAGCTGAGTCCCATCTCTGCCTGCCCTCGGTGAGAGGGGGTTGCATGGGGGACTCCCAGCCATTCCAGGCCTATGACCTATCTCCCTCCTTGTGAAACCCAATCTCATGATCCAGCCCTATGTCCCTGGAAATCTACCATTCTTGTCCTCCTTTTCCCTAATTCCATCTCCCTAATATCCTCCCAGCATCCTTGACACCATCTCCCTAGATTGCAACAGTTATCTTCCCCTGACCTCGTGAACCCTTATCCTGTTTCAGGCTTTTGCCCTATCCATTCCACGTTCTGGCCCTGGAAGTGACTTTTCCCCTGGGGACAGGTATGTTCTAGTACAAGTTGGGGTGCCAGGGTGAGACACTTGGGACACTAGGGTCTCAATGTCTGCTCTGACAGTCATTCTATCTCCTTTCTCTTTACCAGCTATGCCTCAGATGCAGCTTCAGGCCTTAGCGATGTGGGAGAAGGGATGGGACAAATGAGGAGACCCCCAGGGAGGAATCTCCGGCGCAGACCCCGATCCCGGCTGCGGGTCACTAGTGTAAGGATGGAGTACAGGAGATAGAGAGTAACCTACAGGGCCAGGAGGGGAGTGTCAGGGGAAAGCTGGGGGGGTCACCCAGAAAAGGGGAGAAGCAGTGTGTGACTGGTACTCAAGAGGTGACCAGACTTTAGGGGTGGGATCTACTTATCTCCAAGTCCATTGTGGCTGCTGTCACTTGGCTGGGTTAGGGTGGAGACACAGCATGATGACAGAGGGCTTGACTTCCTCCCCTCTGCTGACTTTGAATCTGAAGGTCTCAGACCAGAATGACAGAGTGGTTGAGTGCCAGCTACAGACCCATAACAGCAAGATGGTGACCTTCCGATTTGATCTGGATGGGGACAGCCCGGAAGAGATTGCAGCTGCCATGGTGAGGGGGAGAGAGATGAGGACAGAGTATCTGGAACAAGAGTCTCCTTCCGGATGTCCGCTGGGGCTGAAACCCACTGATCCGACAGCAAGGGTTTTTAAATCTCTGGTTGACACTTAGCACAGTGACACTGAAGACGTCTCAGCCCTTGTTTTGTGGGGAGATTTCTCTTTATCCAGTGAGGTTTGGCTTCTCAGCTGGAGGAATCTGAGACTCACATTGACCGGGTACACACAAGTGCTATGTGTAAGTGCCTGGTAGACGTGCAATACTGTGGCTGTAGGTGAAGGATGGACTGGGCAGCAGAGGCAATGGGCTTACCCAGGACCTTGGCAGATGGGCGAGAAAGGCCGTGAAGGGTGGAAAGGCTGTGAAGGGTGTCCCTATGCAGGGACAGCATAAGCAAAGGCATTCCAAGTAGAGAGTGACTTGGAATATGGGGCTGGGAGGGCTTCATGAGGGAATCACTATCATTAGAAGTAAAGATTCCTACAGGAGAGTTGTGGGGAGTGAAGCTGGGTAGGTAAAGTGGGTCCAGATTATAGAATAGACAATGTTAAGAGTTAGGCAGAGGCCAGGTGCAGTGGCTCACGCCTGTAATCCCAGCACTTTGGGAAGCTGAGGTGGGCGGATCACCCAAGGTCAGGAGTTCAAGACCAGCTTGGCCAACATGGTGAAACCCCGTCTCTACTAAAAAATACAAAAATTAGCCAGGCCTGGTGGCGTATGCCTGTAGTCCCAGCTGCTCGGGAGGCTAAAGCAGGAGAATTGCTTGAACCCGGGAGGCGGAGGTTGCAGTGAGCCGAGATCACGCCATTGTACTCCAGCCTGGGTGACAAGAGTGAGATTCTGTCTAAAAATAAATAAATAGGCAGAGTGGGCTGGTTCCAGTGGCTCACACCTGTAATCCCAGCACTCTGGGAGGATGAAGTAGGAGGATCGCTTGAACCCAGGAGTTCAAGACCACCCTGGGAAATATAATGAGACCCTATCTATACAAAAAATTTTAAAAATTAGCCATGTGTGGTGGCACATACCTGTCATCCCAACTACCTGGGAGGCTGAGGTGGGAGGATCACTTGAGCCTGGGAGGTCAAGGCTGCCGTGAGCTGTGATCATGCCACTGCACTCCAGCCTGGGAGACAGAGTGAACTTTGTCTCAAAAAATAAAAATTAAAATTAAAAAAAAGGCAGAGTGTAACATGGTGACAGTAGTAGGCTTTGTGAAGACCATCTGCCATAGGATATGGAAGGGGGTTAGGGGAAGGGAGGGAAAATACCTGGGAGGTAGACCCAGGAAACCACCTGTGGACAAAGGAGAGAGTAGCTTATGGGAGGGAAGAGGAGAAAGGGTGAATCTGAGGGTTGTTTCGGGAAAATAAGTTACTCTGTAATCCAGTAACCTATTGACGTAGTACAGAACATAGTACATAGTAGATGCTCAATAAATATTTGCTGAGTTGATATGATAGGGAGTTAGGGAGAAGGGATGTCAAGGACAACTTGTAGGCCACCAAAGGAGAGTAGGAGAGTAGGTGACCAAAGGAGAGAGGAAGTTAGAAATGAAAGAATTTTTTTAAGAGGTCATGATGAGCTTGAGTGAAGAAGGGACAGCCAAGACAAGATCCTCCATAGCTGAGGGATATGGGTCAGGCAGGGCTGGAGAGAGGTGGATGGAGGAGTGGTCAGTACAGAGTTGAGAGTGAAGGGAGATGAGCCTGCAAAGCCAGAGACACAGAGGGTTGCAGAGTGTGTTTCAGCGCATACCACCAGTTCTGGAGTGGGAAGCGGCAGGGTAGGTCATGGAAGGACACAGAGATGAAGCCACAGAGGTAGGAGGAAGTTAGTCAAAACTGAGTGAGGAGAGAGTTTCAAGGAGGTGGCATAGGGTGAATCCTCAGGCAAGACCACACTGCCTTTTGTTAGGAGATCTTTGTGGGAGACCAGTTTCAGTGGAGTGGAGGTGGTGGATGCCAGCCCCTGGGGTGAAGGAGGGAAAGGAATGGGAGAAACGCCAGGTATTAGGAGCCCTCTCTAAAGCATCTCGTCCATCATGTCATTCACCTTGTGTCCAGGACAAAGACACAATATCACCTGGCACACAAGGCTCATCACCTTCCATCAAACCACTTGACCCTTTCAGAGTCTTCCCTCCAGCCACACGGGTTTCAAAACAGGCCTCTGGAGAGGTTGGGTGCCTTCCTGCCTCTGCCTCCACCTGCTTCAGGGGCTCTCTCTCTCAGAGCCTTCTGTATTGGGCTTTCAAGCCCCCTCTGATTCTGCACAGCCAAAGTGACCCCACCCCATGCATCCAGAGTCCTTTGCCCTCTTTTCTCTCCTTACCCAGTCCTCCCTCCACTCCTCTGCAGCAGGGTTCTCCTGAGACTTGGATCTGATCTGTTGATTTTCACCCGAAATTATTTAGTGGCTACTTGTAGTTGTAGAGTAAGGTTCAAATTCCAAAGCCTTTAAAATTCACAGCACACTCAGCTACACTTGAGTCCTCACTATTTTAAGAACAGGCCATGCCAGGCGTGGTGGCTTACGCCTGTAATCCCAGCTACTCACAAGGCTGAGGCAGGAGAATCACTTGAACCCGGGAGGTGAAGGTTGCGGTGAGCCGAGATCACACCATTGCACTCCAGCCTGGGCAACAACAGTGAAACTCTGTCTCAAAAAAAAAAAAAAAAAAAAGAAAAAAGAAAAGAAAAAAGAAAGAAAAAAAGATTGAATAGGCCAGGCGTTGTGGCTCATGCTTGTAATCCCAGTACTTTTGGGAGGCCAAGGCAGGTGGATCACTTGAGGTCAGGAGTTCGAGACCAGCCTGGCCAACATAGTGAAGCGCTGTCTCTACTAAAAATATAGAAATTAGCTGGGCGTGGTGGCAGGCGCCTGTAGTCCCAGCTACTCGAGAGGCTGACGCAGGAGAATATCTTGAACCCAGGAGGTGAGGTTACAGTGAGCCGAGATCATGCCACTGCATTCCAGCCTGGTAATAGAGCAAGGCTCAGTCTCAATAAATAAATAAATAAATAAATAAATAAAATAATAATAATGTACCATGCCTTGCATGCTTCAAAGCTACTACACTGTTCTCTCTGCCTAGACTGCTCTTCTCTTGCTGGTGAACAGCCTGGAATGGAGGAAGGGATCGCTTTCATATAATACCTAAGTTCAAACTTCAGCTCTGTTATTTACTAATCCAATGAACTTGGGCAAGTTTCTTAACCTCTGTAAACTTCAGTTGCATATAAGTAAAATGCAGATGATAGTATTTGTTTTGCAAAGATGTTCTGATGTGATACAATGTAATGTAGAAGTGTCCACACATGGTAGGTCCTCAATAGAGGTTGCTTTTCTCATCTGTCAATGTTCAGCTCCAAAGACTTACTCTGTGAAAGTGTCCCAGCTTCCCCCCATCCTCAGTGTGGTATTCTGCCTTTGGAATAGCATTTTTAAAAATTGTGATTAAAAAACATAAATGTAAAATTGACCACCGTAACCATTTTTAAGTGCGCAGTTCAGCAATGTTAAGTATATTCACATTGCTGTGAAACAGATCTCCAGGGGTTTTCTTTCCTTGCAAATCTGAAACTCTATACCCATTAAACAACTCTGCCTTTCCACCCCCCCAACACCCGCAACCCTGGAACAGCATTTCTATCTATATCTCACTTGTAAGTGCCTTACCTATTACAGGCTGCCTTGCAGTAGGTTTAACTATGTATTTATGTATCTCCTCCACTAAGTTTTGGGCTTTGTTAAGACTAGGACCTTGTTTCATGCTTCCCTGTATTCCCACAGTACCCAGCACAATGCCTGCACATAGTAGGTGCTCAATAGGTATTCATGGATTTGAATGTGACATTTGCCATTGATTGCCTTATTTTGACTTAACTTTGTGGGATGGGTGTATGTGGGCCTGTGTGTTATACTTTATAAACCCTATGGGGCAGAAATTGTGTCCAAAAGCATGTGAGGCAGCAGTGAAGATAACTCAGGCTCTGGCTTTAGGTAGATGTGGGTTTAAATCCGGTGACCTTAGGCAGACGGAACTTAACCTCTTTGAGCATTGGTTATCTTAATTCTACCACAGTGATATTAATATGGGCCCCAGGAAGTTAGTGGTGTTAAATGTGATAATATATGCAAAGCAGCTGGCATATATATGCATCCTATGAATGTTAGCACCTTTCCTTCTAGGCTTATTTCTCCTTACACCACACAGTGCCTGGAACACAATAGGCATTTACTTGTTTTAGGTTGGTGGTTGGCAGAAGCAGTAGTGTGAAGGGTGGATTTTTTATTTTTTTTTTTTTTGAGACGGGAGTCTTGCTCAGTCGCCAGGCTGGAGTGTGGTGGTGCGATCTTGGCTCACTGCAACTACCGTTTCCCAGGTTCAGGTGATTCTCCCATCTCAGCCACCCGAGTAGCTGGTATTACAGGCCCCCAACATCATGCCTGGCTAATTTTTGTATTTTAGTAGAGATGGGGTATCACTATGTTGGCCAGGCTAGTCTTGAACTCCTGACCTCAGGTGATCTACCCGCCTCGGCCTCCCAAAGTGCTAGGATTACAGGCGTGAGCCACCATACCTGGCCTGATTTTTAAAGATGAGAAGCAGGGGGAGAGGGATGAGAGAGATAACAAGCTCTCCCTCCCCATCCTATTGATCCTCATCAGGTGTATAACGAGTTCATTCTGCCCTCGGAGCGAGACGGATTTCTCAGACGGATTCGGGAGATTATCCAGCGAGTGGAGACCCTGTTGAAGAGAGACACTGGCCCCATGGAGGCTGCTGAAGACACCCTAAGCCCCCAGGTCAGACCCCTCTGGACACTTCCAGGGGAAATGGACTCTCTGCTCCAGGGTTCATTACTCTCTGCCTTCAGCGGTCCCCTTGGATCTCACTCCTCTTCATCTCTGGGACCCTAAAACAGTGGCTCTTACCCCATTTGAGAATATGATGAAAGCCATCGCCTCTTGTTCTGGAAAACTTGTTCAATACATACTTTTCTTTTAACTCATTATTTTGAAATAATTTCAGACTTGTGGAGAGAAGTTGCAAGAATTGTATAAAGAACCCCTGAATACCCTTTGCCCAGATTTGCCAATTGTTAGTGTTTTGCCACCTTAGCATCATCATCTCTCTTCCTCTCCCCTCTGTATGTGTGCATACATACTATATTTTTCAGAACCACTTGAGAGTTGAGTTGCAGACATCATGCTCTTTTACCTCTATACATTTCAGCACATATGCTTCTGAATCCCTTGAAACTCATGTAGACTCCTAGAGGTTTATGGGTCCTAGCTTAGGAACCCCAGTCTGACACCTTCCATCTCAGACTGCTCTTCCCCACTGTGACTGTGGACTCCTTTCTCTGCCTCAGGAGGAGCCAGCACCATTACCTGCCCTGCCCATCCCCCTCCCAGACCCATCCAATGGTATGTACTGATTCTGTCCTTGCTCATCCCAACCCTTGGGGTTGCTCCTGGGAAGGGCACAGGGCATGTGGGACCGTGGTCTCAACATACCCTCCTTCCTAGCAGAGCTCCAGAGCAGCAACTCCCTGGAGCACAGGAGCTGGGCAGCCTTCTCCACCTCCTCATCTTCTCCTGGAACTCCTTTGTCTCCTGGAAACCCATTTTCCCCTGGAACCCCCATTTCCCCAGGTCCCATCTTCCCCATCGCTTCTCCCCCATGTCATCCCAGCCCTTCCCCATTCTCCCCCATTTCTTCCCAGGTCTCCTCAAATCCCTCTCCACACCCCACCAGCTCTCCACTTCCATTCTCCTCCAGCACACCTGAGTTTCCAGTCCCACTCTCTCAGTTTCCCCGGAGTTCTCTCCCCATGACTTCTCCACCTACATTCTCTCCCACTTGTTCTCAGGTCACTCTTAGTCCCCCTTTCTTTCCTCCATGCCCCTCCACTTCTTCCCTCCCCTCCACCACAGCAGCCCCTCTCCTCTCTCTGGCTAGTGCATTCTCACTGGCTGTGATGACTGTGGCCCAGTCCCTGCTGTCCCCCTCGCCCGGGCTCCTTTCCCAATCTCCTCCAGCCCCTCCTAGTCCCCTCCCTAGCCTGCCCCTTCCCCCTCCCCTTGCTCCTGGTGGCCAGGAGAGTCCTTCACCCCACACAGCTGAGGTGGAGAATGAGGTGAGTAGAAAACCAAGAGGGATGATTAGGGAGACTCCACTCTGCACTCTTCCCTTCTCATGGCCCCATACTTTCTAGGCCTCGCCACCTCCTGCTCGGCCTCTCCCAGGGGAAGCCAGGCTGGCGCCCATCTCTGAAGGTGAGGCCTCTGACCACTGACCTTCCCCTGCCATTATCCCTACTCATTGTCTCTCCTGTCACTGCTCTCCTTTCCTCATGCCTTCTTCCTCGTCGCCCTACAGAGGGAAAGCCGCAGCTTGTTGGGCGTTTCCAAGTGACTTCATCCAAGGAACCAGCTGAGCCTCTTCCCCTGCAGCCAACATCCCCCACTCTCTCCGGTTCTCCAAAACCTTCAACCCCTCAGCTTACTTCAGAGAGCTCAGACACAGAGGACAGTGCTGGAGCCGGGCCAGAGACCAGGGAAGCTCTGGCTGAGAGCGACCGTGCAGCTGAGGGTCTGGGGGCTGGAGTTGAGGAGGAAGGAGATGATGGGAAGGAACCCCAAGTTGGGGGCAGCCCCCCACCCCTGAGCCATCCCAGCCCAGTGTGGATGAACTACTCCTACAACAGCCTGTGTCTGAGCAGCGAGGAGTCAGAAAGCAGTGGGGAAGATGAGGAGTTCTGGGCTGAGCTGCAGAGTCTTCGGCAGAAGTGAGTCTGGGGAGGATGGAGGAGCGAGAGGTGAACCTGGGAGAGCATGGTGTGTGGCTAGCCCTTTCATGCCCTCCGTGCATCCTCAGGCACTTGTCAGAGGTGGAAACACTACAGACACTACAGAAAAAAGAAATTGAAGATTTGTACAGCCGGCTGGGGAAGCAGCCCCCACCGGGTATTGTGGCCCCAGCTGCTATGCTGTCCAGCCGCCAGCGCCGCCTCTCCAAGGGCAGCTTCCCCACCTCCCGCCGCAACAGCCTACAGCGCTCTGAGCCCCCAGGCCCTGGTGAGACTGCAGTCACCCAGCTTCCATCTTTTCCCTGAGACCCCTTCCTGTCTACTGTTTTTTTCCAGGTCCTGGGGGTCTGCCCCAGGGGAATAGACCCCCTCTCCCCACCTCCCCTTTCCTCACTTAGTGCTCTCCCTCCCCCATCCTGCTCCCAGGCATCATGCGAAGGAACTCCCTGAGTGGCAGCAGCACCGGCTCCCAGGAGCAGCGGGCAAGCAAGGGGGTGACATTCGCCGGGGATGTTGGCAGGATGGTGAGGGCGGGCCCAAGGGAGGGAGAGCCCAGGGAATCAGGGAATGGTACCTGGCTGCAGCTTCGCCATCCTCCCACCTTGGAGGTTTCTTCATCACTTTTTCTTTTCCCTCCAGTGAATTCAGAACAGAAGCCATGTATCTCCCCCACACCAGAGCCCACCATGGAGCTTGTGTTCTCAGAATCTGATGCTTTTCTGACCAACACAACTGAGCAAGGAAGATCCCAGCACTGAAGGGGTAGAAGGCCGGGGGGCATGGAGAGTGCAGCTCCATTATAGTGAAGAGCCAAACATATGTGAACTGTTTGCTGTGTGGAGGTGTTAGTCCTGCAGCCTACCATCTTCATCTCTAGCCCCTCTCCCCTGCCAACAGTCAACCACTAAGCAATCCCGCCCAAGCCCAGATGCTTCTAGAGGGGCCCACTCCCAGCTGGGAGAGTGTAGGTGATATGCTCACACCACATTAGCAGCAACCAATAAAAATGCTGGAAACAAGGATGCCGTGAATCCATATGCCATGCCTTAGGAATTGGGGAGCAAAGCCTTGTGGGATGAGGTAGGGGAGGATTTAAAAGGGACTTTTCTTTTCGCAGTGGGAGGCAGCGGTGGAAGCTGCCCAGCCCTCTGGCTTCCTACCATCAGTTAATGAGGAAACTGCAAGGTCAGTGATCCACTTGACTAAGTTAGGATCCCCTCTAGACCCCACCCTAGACCTGTACAGGCAGGTACAAGGGAAAGTTAAAAGAATGAAGACTGCTTGTCTTTCACCCTTCATCCACCTCTCTCTCCCTCTCCCTCTCCCTCTGGGGATGGGAAAAGCAGTAGAGTTACAGTATGTTCTTGTGGGTAGAGGACAGAAGAGTGACCTTCCTTCCCCTAAGACGTGGGTTCAGTCTCAAACCACCCAGTGATCTCTCCCTTAAATCAGGTGGAAAGATCTCATGGAAAAAGTAATTCTAGTTAAACATTTACAGCTCCCTGGGGCAATGCCACCACTGCAGCTACTGCTTGTGAAACTTTCCAGCATGAAGTGCCATATACTGCCTCTCAGCCTCCAAACTCACTTGACTCCAGGAGAATGACTCAGTTTATTATCTCAATTTGACCCTATCTATACCATTTTCGGCTCAAACACTGTACAGAGCTGCCACGCCTAACCTCGTAAAAATCGCATCCCTGGAAGGTGAAGGGGGTAAACCACAAAGTCAGAAACATTGGGAAAAGCCACAGTCGCACGCACATCTCTCAAGGAAACAAACTACAAGAAAGGGCTCAGTCACTGTACACAGCAAGTGTGCAGTGGGCAAAGTTCTGTTCTTTTGACAGTAGCCAAATGCTTAAGTCCCTGGTTTCTTGGGATCAATCATGGCCCAAGGTTAGTAAGAAGGCCAACAATGTTGTGAGCAGGATTCAATTTCTACAGGGTCATGGGGCATCATCCACCATGTGAAGGGGCTCCAGCAGGTTAGACATGATCAATACCCATTCAGATTAGGATCCTGATGCCCTCGCCAGAGCTCGGGCTCGGGCAGCTTTGGCCTCGTCTTCTAGCTCATCTAGGAAACGCTCCTGGGAGATCGAGTAGATAGTGTAACCATCTGGGGAGGTAGGTTCAGGAAACCACACGGACTATGCACATTCCCCTTTCCTAGATTTGCTCTACCACGCTTGTTACCTTCCCAAATCAGTGATTCCGGCTTACCACCGCTGCTGTTTCTAAGCCCTGAACCCCAACTCCGTTATTAATAAATCAAAATAAAAGAGTACCTTATGAATAACAAAGTACTAACCCCATTTTACCCCAAAATTAAACGGGTGGTTCAGCCCTCTTGCACATTCTGTTCCCCTTCCCCTATATGCGGTCCCCTTGAGTCTACAACAAGGACGGATACAAATAGCTAACACCAGGGCCCCGATGCCTAGGCCGGTCACGATGTTCCGGGTCCGCCGCTGCGGTAGGACCTTCTGCCACTGGGCAAGCTGCGCCCGCCGCATGGAATACAGTTGCTCGGATGTCAGCTTCTCCCGCGTCGGGTCGATACGCTGAGCGAAAGGGGCCTCGCCACGCTTAGCATCCAGAGGGTCACCAGCTCCCGAAGCCGCCATGTTGCCGCTCCTCTCTTCGCGTTGCCGCCGCGCGGGGCTCGCTGGGAACAGTAGTCCTGGGCCACTGCAGTGGACTCTGGGAGATGTAGTCCGCGTGCCCTTTGCTAGGCTGAACCGCGGTTCCTGGGCACACGGGATGGATGCGGGAGGTGAGAAGCGGACGTGCTTTCTGATTGGCTGAGAAGTCCGCGGCCGTTGGGGTGGGAAAAAGCTGTGGAGGGTTCCAGGCTGTGGTGGTAATTGGGTTTTCCTCAGACTTGAGGCGACGACACACTCATTGGAAGGGGCGAGGAATCCAGGGTGTGGCAGAAGACTAGAGAGGAGCTAAGGGGGTCGGTATGTGGATCCAGTGAGCCCGTCCAGGTGCCCCAAGAGGCTCGTGAATATGGACGGACCCATGAGGCCAAGATCGGCCTCCCTCGTTGACTTTCAGTTTGGAGTTGTCGCCACAGAGACGATCGAAGACGCCCTGCTTCACTTGGCCCAGCAGAATGAGCAAGCAGTGCAGGAGGCTTCCGGGCGGTTGGGCAGCTTCAGGGAGCCCCGGATCGTGGGTGCGGCTGCAGGGCCGGGGAGCTGGGTTCATGGGAGACTGGGGCTTTTGTCTTTCAGGCACGACCTTGAGATTCCGTTGATTTTATTCATTCAGAGAATGTTTGCTAACCTTCTCTGTGGGGTGCTGGGGGTATACTGATGGACAAGACTCACCAGTGCCCTCCCCTTGATTTCTTTGACATGTATGGAGTACTTATGAGTGGCACCGATTGGCTAGAAAGGAAATAGAGGGCCAGGCATGGTGGCTCACACTTGTAATCCCAGCACTTTGGGAGGCTGAGGTGGGAGGATCACCTGAGGTCAGGAGTTCGAGACCAGCCTGACATAGTGAAATCCCGTCTCTACTAAAAATACAAAAATTAGCCAGGTGGGATTACAGGCACACACCTGTAATCCCAGCTACTTGGGAGGCTGAGACAGGAGAATCGTTTGAACCCAGAAGGCGGAAGTTGCAGTGAGCTGAAATCGTGCCATTGTACTCCAGCCTAGGCGACAAGAGCAACACTGCGTCTCAAAAAAAAAAAAAAAAAAAGAAACACACAGACACACTACACAAATAAAGCAGGAGGAAAAGTGACTTTTGTTTGGGAAAGATAATAATAGCTTTGAAGCCTGGCCAACATGGTGAAACCCCATCTCTACTAAAAATACAAAAATTAGCCTAGCGTGGTAGCAGGCAAGTGACAGAGCAAGACTCTGTCTCAAAAAAAAAAAAAATGAAATAGAGATAGAGGTCTTGCCTTCAAACCATGTGCAAGTTGGGGGAGATATTAGAACAAATATGCAATGACTAGGTATTATGATTAGATAAGTGATGTCAGAGAGAGATAAAACAAGCGTTTATGGGGGTTGAGAGGAGCGATATGGTAATAGGAAGAATTCAGGGGATGGCCCAGGCATCGGGACATTTCAGGCAGACCTTGAAGGAAGGAGGACATTGGTTTGGTGAAGGGGGAGGAAGGAGACAGCGTTTCTACCAAAAAGAGGTAGCATGAGTAACGCTATGGAAATGGGGTGCTTAGGGTGCATGTGGGTACAGTGCAGTCCATGTCGGCCAGTGCATGTGGAAGAGAGTTGAAATTAAGACTGGAAAGGTAGTTTGGAGACATTCCATGTGGAAGTTTGAATGCCAAGGGGAAGAGTTTATCCTTGGTTTAGTAGAAAACCAAGAAGACATTGAAGGTTTTTAAATAAGGGATATGACGGTAACCCTCCCTTAGTAAGCATTATTTTGGCAGTGATGTAAGGGAGGTAAAGGATGGATTAAACCAGAGGGAGATGGGAGGTAGGCAGACAGGTAGAGTCAATGTCACCAGGTGAGGTGACAGGGTAGAGGGAATAACAAGGGAGGGTGTATTAAAAACATTCCAGAGGCAAAGTCTAGGGTTCTGCTGTGGATACATTTAGGAAGTGAAGGAGAAAAAGGTGACTATGCTAAACGGTTGAGCCTAGAAGACTGGAAGTATAGTGGTCACTAAAAGAAACACACAGACACAGCCGGGCACAGTGGCTCACGCCTGTATTCCCAACACTTTGAGAGGCTGAGGTGGGTGGATCACAAGGTCAGGAGTTCGAGACCAGCCTGGCCAACATAGGGAAACCCTGTCTCTATTAAAAATACAAAAATTAGCTGGGTGTGGTGGCAGGTGCCTGTAGTCCCAGCTACTCGGGAGGCTGAGGCAGGGGAATTGCTTGAACCTGGGAGGCGGAGGTTGCAGTGAGCCAAGATCGTGCCACTGCACTCCAGCCTAGGTGACAGAGCAAGACTCTGTCTCAAAAAAAAAAAAAAAAAAAAGAAACACACAGACACACTACACAAATAAAGCAGGAGGAAAAGTGACTTTTGTTTGGGAAAGATAATAATAGCTTTGAAGCCTGGCCAACATGGTGAAACCCCATCTCTACTAAAAATACAAAAATTAGCCTAGCGTGGTAGCAGGCAACTGTAATCCCAGCTACTCAGGAGGCTGAGGCAGAGGAGAATGGCTGGAACATGGGAGGCAGAGGTTGCAGTGAGCTGCGATTATACCATTGCACTCCAGCCTGGGTAACAGAGTGAGACCTTGTCTCAAAAAAAATAAAAATAAAAATAAAAAATATATATACATACACACACACACATATATATATGTTAGAAGAGAGGTCAGAAATGGAGATCAAGGTTTTCAAGTTACCTTCACAATGATACTGTTGAAACTGTGGCAGAGGATGAGCTCCTAGAAGGAGAAAAGAAAAGCAGGTCAAGGACAGTTCCTTGGGAAAACACTTTTTGTTCAGGGAATTGGAGTAAGAAGACTTGTGAAGGAAATAAAAGGAGGAGATAGGAATAGAACCAAGGGACTTTTGGAAGTCAAGAGGAGACTGAAAAGGATGATGGTCAGAAGTTTCAGATGCTTTAGGGATATCAACAGAACTAAAGATTGCAAAAAGCCATGATATTTAACAATTTGGACATATTTACTGTCCTCTGAGAATCATTTCAGCAAGTTAGGAAAGGTAGAAGCCAACATATAGAAAATTAGGGAGTGAATGATGAAGTGGAAGCAGTAGGTGTGTAAGCCAGGCTTTCAAGTAATTCAACAGTGAGGCTGAGACAGGAGGACTGCTTGAGCCCAGGAGTTTGAGACCAGCCTGGGCAATGTAGCAAGATCCCGTCTATTTATTATTTATTTATTTGTTTAAAAAAATTCAACAGTGATGGAAAAGAGAGAGGTGGAGCCCTACCCTAAGAGGTTAAAAGGGGAGGGTCTTTTAGTTAATAGCAGATCTGACTATGATTGTTATTGAGGAGGTGGGGCCAATAGCAAGGGAAAGGTGTAACCCTCATCCATTCCA